ACAGTTTGTTATTGGACAGTTTGTTATCGGACAGTTCAATAAGCCAATCACATTCAAAGTTGTAGCTTAAATCAACCAATCACATTAAAAGTTGTAGTTACGTGGGTGCGTGCGTGCGTGCGCTTTTGTGTTTTTGGCGCCTAATTGCCGGTAGGAGGCGCGGTGGCCTTAGAATGTTTACATCTCCTTTGGAGGTGCTTTAATGCAAAAATTCCCTTTCTTTCATAGCTTGGCTATTCTTTTCTCGGAAATTGTAATTTTTTTGATTAATTGGTAATAAGACTTCGTGTCGTCCAATTCGGTTTGTAATCATACTCGTGATAAACAAATCGGACTCCAGCTGCGCGGTCGTCCGATTTTGTTATCACTCTTATGATAACCGACCGAATTGGACTCCACTCAGTCCTATTACCACTACTTATACATGTTGAGTACTTTCCCTTTTGATACTCTCCCTTTGAAGCTAATTAAACCAAGAGAAACAGCGAAACCATTTGTTTATTTGTTTGGTTATTTCTTTACCCGATGTTTCGCTTTCTCAAGAGATATGCTCGAGGAACACCTGTCGGATTAGTATTCAAAGCTTCCTAAAACGTCTGAATAATTAATTTAGGATTCTTGTTATCCACAGCATCATACCAGAATGCACACATTTACACCCTCTACCATCTTCTCTCGGAGCCCACGAACAAATATTTATGCCCTGCTTTTCGGTTTTAGTGTTAAGGAAAACAATATGGGCTAACCTTCAAAAAAGGATAATAGTTTTTGATTAAGTTTATTTAACACCATAACTTACCTTTCTTTATTTTGTCAGCCATTTTCTGCCCAACCAAACTAGCCTCCGGAAAAGTTTCGCTGATGAACACATATTCCGAATGAGGTTCACCTGAGGCCAGATTCAAACTCTGCGGGTTATAGTTGGAGGTGAGACCCAAGGCAAACATCAAGACACATACCATTTTGAGTTCATTCACGGCTCTTTCGATTTCATCATCAGGCTTTCCTGTCATAATAGTAATCAAAACTTTAGGAACAGCCTGTCGAGCATATTGATCAAAAAAGTTTGTTTTTATGTCCCGAAGGGCACGTCCCGCCATGCTTGCACCGGGAAGGTGTGAGGCAGCACTGATGTCGTCATCCATGCCTTGGAGATCATAATGCTTGTTAAAATTAAAGATGATCCGTGTTTCTTCAGAATAGACGGCCATGGCTACATGAGTTCCATTCTGGGAAACGTCGAAGCTGTAACAGATGGCTTTCACAATTTCTTTCACTTGCTCAAAGTCTCCAGGTCTGGTATTGTAACTTCCCTCGATAAGGATGACCAGATCAACAGGGTCTGTTTGCAAAACAACATAAAGTGAGCTTCGCTAAAAGGACGTACTTATAATCATGATTGTTTATCTTTGCAATTTGGTCCTGCATGCAAGTAAATAACACTGTAATAATCGATTTAGCAAAAACAGTTTCCTTCCTGTCTATCCCAAAATGAAACACAACTATGTGCCCTTAAAGAAAAGCCCAAAGAACGTAATAGTCAAATTGCAGTACTTTTGAAAAGTAATGTCATCAGTGACAGTTTAGCTATAAAATTAAATCCATACTTCCTTTTTCTGGAGAAAAAATCTGCGGCTTAGTTACTTGTTCTTGATCTGTATTAGGAAGCAAAACAGAATAAGCTCGCATACAGAAGATACTTCGCTTCAAAATAGATAAGACACAAAAACATAAAATCAATTTTTTCAGTTATGCTACTTCAGTTGCTAGCAATTTTGCCAGTTCTAAATCTATTGCCGATTTGAGCGTGAGTAAACACAGACTATGTTGGTGCACTCCTTTTAATATTTCCTCGGTCACCTCCCCCCAAGGCTATCGATCACCTGTATAATTGGCATTGAGAATAGATCCTGTACTCTAAGGAAAGTTTGTTGTATTCCCATCGAGGTTTACTATGTTATAAGTTACCAGATTCCACTTTAGCAACTTCCAACAGTTCAATGAGTTTCTTGGCCCCCTTCGTCAAGCCGTTACTCTCCGTTACTATGTGATTATTAGTGGGGTGCGTCGCGATTTCAGTTAATTCCTGGACGTCTACTCTACTTCCAACTGCAAAGCAAAATATCTCCACTCCACTGTCTCTAAGTCGTCTGGCAGGTTCAGAGATCTCGTCATTAGATTTGCCATTGACCAATACGATAAGGACTTTTCTAACTCCTTTTCTTGCACCCTTGCCATAAAAGGTCTCCTTAGCAACGAGAAGGCTTTGTCCAATGTTCGCAACCTGCTGAATTCCGGGATATTCAACACTGTTTACTGCCGAGTCGAGGCTTGTCTTATCAAAGTACTTGTCGAAGCTGAACACAATCTCAGGATTGCTTGAAATCACACCAAGTCCGACTTGGACATTTTCTGACGAAATGGGAAACGCGCTGTAGATATACTTCACGATTTCCATATATTGCAGGAATTCTGCTTCTAATACGTTTTCTGATCCTTCAACCAGGAATCCGAGGTCAACTAGAACAGCTGCAAAGAAAAACATGTAAAACTCATTGCAAGTAAGAAGATACTTTATTTCAACTTTAGTTTTCAAGTCTTATGGACGAAAATAAAATAAATAAATAAATGAATAAGTAAATAATAAATAGATCAATAAACAAATGAATAAAAAATGCCTAGGCCTTGATGGCACTGATCAATACCCGCTGTTAATAACAAAATTAACTTAAACTTATTTAGATCGTAGCCAATAAAAAGTGAACCGAGGCGCGTGCCTTGAAGTTATTTCTAGGATCTTGTAAGATGCTATGTATTGAAAAATAAAGAATTGTGACAAGAAATGTTCGTTTTCTTTTGCTAGAAAGTTGACGGAGCTGAGTCCCAAAAAAATATGGTGGACAGATAAATAGAATGCTGTTAGTAGCTACCCTCCAAAATTAACATGAACATGGAAAAATAGACTGCATTTACGTGTCCAAATTGCGGATGATGAAGTAGAATTTTACGTCAGAGAGTAAACTGACAAAAGGGAAAACTGGAGGGTCGAATCGTCAGACCTCACCTTTCTTAATCCTGGACGCAAGGTTTTCTCCGGCGGTTTCTCGGTGCGATATAGCTGCCATGATAACATGACCGCTCGTTGGAGTAGATGCAACAGTTTCAAGCTCACTTCTGTCGATGTTCTGTCCAACCCCAACACAGAATATCGTCGCGTTTAGAACTTTTAACGCAGCTGATGGTTTAATGACGTCGTCTCTAGATTTTCCACCAGTGATAACAACAAGAATTTTGGGAGTCTCCGGACGAGATTTGCCATAAAATAACTGCTTAACAGCAGAAAGACCCTGTCCAAGCAGACTTGGACTAGTCAGTGGTGACATTAATGTTTGATCCACTGCAGTGTCAAGTGACTGTCGTGAAGTATATTGATCCAGGGATACCGCTGTCCGAGGGCGCTCGCTGTAGGTGACAACACCAATTCGAGTCTTGTCTTTGCCGATTATGAACGCTGCGTATGTTGATTTTACGGAATTTAACACATTGTCAAATTGATCAGGTCTGAAGTTATTGGAATTGACATCAATTAAAAATGCCAGCTCCATTTTGACATCTGAAATAATGAACAAAATCTTTAGATTTTCACGAGAATATAATCCACTAGAACGCGAAAATTCCGTTCACACGAAAAAAAAAATGTCTTGAAGTACCACAAAACGTCCAAGGTTAACCGCATAAAATTGTAATATGCATGAGTATTAGTTAGGGAGTCAAATTGGAAAAATACTTTCATCACTAGAAATCTCACCTACTTTTGACAGTAAACGTTTTTGTTAATCCATAGATATAATTAAAGTAGTGTATTTTTTTTTCTTTTCGTTTTTCGAGTATAAACAACATTCAATTAAAAGCGATAGGCTTAATAAGAGGGTACTAGTTGTATAGCATAAGATAACTACTTACTTGTCGGTCCTGTGTGAATTACTGATTCAGTTATAGCTAGGAAAAAGTAAAGTCGATTAAACAGGATCGGTGTGTCTTCATTTCAACATAAATTTGTATCAAAATGAACTTTCGAATAAATAGATTTGACTTGTCGAGCTACAAAGCCCAGAGTGGACCCTTACTATGGACTAGCACTTCCACCCTAGAGAGACGTAGACAATGTTTCTAATGGATTCATGATACAAACGTTAAATTAAAGCGCAGGCAAATTATGGGCCAGTAGGCTCAGGAGTGGACTGTAATCATTTCGAGGGACCCAAATAGGATAATTGATAAGGACGGTGCTTTTATTTTGAAAAATTTGTCACCTAAGTGGCAAAGAAGCGTTTTTGACATTTACATTTCCATTTCAAAATATTTGACGCCTGCTGATAATAAATATCTTCTAGTATCTTATTCTAGGGTTAATTACCTTTCCTAATATTCTGCACAATTGGACTCAACAGCTTCCCCAGCTGTTCTGAGCTTGTTGCTGCCAAATGATCGTCCTCAGGAACACTTACAACATCTCTAATTTGATCTACGTCCACTTTGTCGCCAATCACAATGCAGAAAATCTTGACACCCTCGTCTCTCAGGACACGTGAGGGTGCCTGGACATCATCCAGAGATTTTCCTGCCACAAGTAATACTAACACCTGATGTCCTCCCGGCCTTGCACTGACGTCATAAACTTTTTCCTTAACAGTTTTAAGACCCCTGCCCATGAAGTTTCCATCAGAACTTGGATTTGCAGTGTGAAGTAGCTTCTTATCAATGCTTTCTTTGTCTGTGTTTCCAGTTAGATTGAATACTACTAGTGAGTCTTTACCATACACCACTAAAG